ATTATTATTATTATTATTATTATTATTATTAATCCCAAAGAACTCCAGACTCATAGGCTAAGCCGACGATATGCCACAGTGACAACACGGAACTACTGGAAATGAAGACCACGAACGAAACACTAGGCAGGGTTAAAAGATGGTTGGACCAAAGAAACCTCCAGATGGCTGTTGACAAAACTGAGGCCGTGTTGATTACAAACCGCAGAGCATTCCGCCCCCCGGTGATCCGACTAGGGGAGGAACTTATTGAATGGAAACGGCATATTACATACTTGGGGGTGGAAATTGATTCACGAGCTTCGGACCCCACATTATAAAATCAGCAGGAAACGCTGCAAAGGCTGGATCAAATCTCTCCAGACTAATGCTGAACTCAGGAGGTCCCAGTGAAAGCAAAAGGAGGTTAATTTCCGCCGTAGTGCACTCAACAATGCTGTATGCTGCCCCAGTGTGGGCAGATGCGCTAACTGAAGAGTCCATTCGACGGAAAAACACACAGATCCAGAGAAGGATGGCTGTAAGGATAATCTCAGGATATCGCACGGTATCCGACAGTGCAGCCTTAGTGTCCAGTGTCCCCCCAGTGGACCTTTTAGCCCAGGAAAGGAGGACAATGTACGTGAGGACGTCAGCAGACAAACAACAAGCCCTGACACAAAGTCAATTAGACAATATCAAAGCGGAATTGAGAAACCATCTCCTGCACCAGTGGCAAAACCGATGGGATCTGGAGTACAAAGGTAGATTGACACGCCGCCAGAAAGTAAACAGCAGTCGACTGTATGGGTGTTTCAAGATTAGCAAAATCCAACAAAAGTTGTTCGCGCACGAAGCACTTCGAAACAGATGGTCGCCTGTTTTATCGAAAAAACTGGACATGTCGCAACCGTACCACTAGAACAACGCAGAACAGTCAATTATGAGTGGTACACAACGATTTGTTTGCTTGCTGTCTTTCAAGAAATCAGGAAAACCAACCGCCGAAGACGGATCACTCTTCACCACGACAATGAGAGCTCTCACACATCGGCTCAAACTGCATTTTTGAGCATCCGAAACGTCGATTTGATGAGTCATCCGCCGTATAGTCCTGACTTGGATGATGAATGACTTCTTTTTATTCCCGTACGTAAAAAAACAAACTGAGAGGTTAACGTTTTTCAACACCTGAAGAAGCGGTTGCTGCATTCAGAATGCATGTTTTGGAGATACCTCAGAGTGGCAAAAGTGCTTCGACATTTGGTTCAAGCGCATGCAAAAATGTATAGATCTTCATGGAGAATATTTTGAAAAACAATAGTGATTTTCGATGATTAATATTTGTTGTGGTTCTCTTATCCTGAAATATAAAAGGCAACCCTCGTAATAATAATAATAATAATAATAATAATAATAATAGAAGAGGAACTATCATATGTAAATTCATTGCAAGAAATGATCTGATCTTAAATAGTGGGGATGAGTACACATTTCATCATGGAGCCGCATCATCTATTTTGGATTTGACCATAAGCTCCATCAAGCTAGCTAAAGGCTGACTGGTCAGTGCTCGGCGAAGAAACCCTGAGTGACCATTGGTACATAGGATATTCGACTCGATATTAACGGAGGGGCTGCAACATGTCAAAACGCAATATAAAGGAAGACCACCTTGGAATCCCAAAAAACTGAATGAAGACAAGACAAAACGCGCCTTGGAAGAATCCAGGTTGCTTGTTAACATGAGTTGGACGAAAGAGGCGGAAACTCTTGAGGATATGGTCAAAGCAACGGAGGAAATAGTAGTAGAAGCTTGCGACGCATCCATGCCTAGACGTATAGGTCCGAAGAGGAAACAGCAAATGTATTGGTGGGCACCAGAAATAGCCGAACAACGATGGAACTGTAACAAGGCAAGAAGAATAGCGACAAGGGGCAAGACTAATCTGCACCTCAGGGAACAGTATAAAGAACCAGTCCAAACGGCTTAAGAGAGAAATTAAAAGAAGTAAAGGCAGATGGTGGAAAGGGCTCTTAGAACAGATAGATAACGACCCATGGGGCATGGCTTATAAAATAGTAAATAAGAAATTCAGGATGGATGGATACCTGGATTGAATGACTCACAATGGATGAGGAAAGCTATCAGGGACCTCTTTCCCACTAGAGATCCTTGCACGAGACAAAGACAGAGCGACTTCACGGTTGACGCAGCAGACTACTTCACGATAGACGAACTGAGGAGAGCGGCGAAAAGCATGAAAACTGGGAAGACCTTAGGTTTCGATAGAATCCCCTGTGAAATACTAAAAATAGTGGCACAGGAGTATCCGGACTGCCAGCTTCGGGCCCCACATAAATGTGATGACAGAGAAGGCGGCGAGGACAGGAGCTAACATCGCAAGAATGCTACCAAACGTCGGTGGACCGAGAGAAGCCAAGAGAAGAATGATATCTGGCATAGTTCACTCACAGGTTGTATGCTGCTCCAGTCTGGGCGGGTTCGCTGGAGAAGCTGACTATCGGACACGAGTACGCCCAAGCACAAAGATGAATGGCCTTGAGGGTGGCTACCGCACGGTGTCTACTTGCGCAGTGCTGGTATTGGCCAGTACACCACCTATCGACTTAATAGCCATGGAAAGAAAGAGGACGTACCTCGCCTTGAAGGAAGCACAAGCAGACAGTCATCTCCCTCCTAAGCATATTGAGAGTGTTAAAGCAGAAGCAAGGAAGTTGCTCCTTGAAGAATGGCAAGGAAGATGGGATGGGGATGTGAAAGGCAGATGGACTCATCGGTTGCTTACAAACATCGAGAGATGAGTTAGCCGAAGTTTTGGGGAGGTGGGTTTTACCTGTCCGAGGCTCTTACGGGACATGGGGCATTTAATAAATACCTCAACGATTTCAGGATCGTCGAGAGGCCCCCATGTAGTGTCTGTCACGCAGACATAGATGATGTGGAACACACACTATTCCAGAGCAAGGCATGGGACGCGGAACGAGAGGTTTGTAATGCCAACCTCCAACAAGTTATAAACCCAGACATGGTCGACATGATGCTGAGCTCGCAGGAGAAATGCAAAAGCATAGAGAATTCCATAGTTAGTATTATGAAGAAGAAAGAATTAAGACAGAGGAAGTAGAGCTTCTACTACCAGCCAATCTCCTGCGTGAAGTAATGTCTAACGACGGTTTCCACGTGGGAGAGAATACGGTTTAAGAGACGGAGGTTAGGTTTTTAGTTGGAAGTCCGACATCATATAATAATAATAATAATAATAATAATAATAATAATAATAATAATAATAATAATAATAATTTTTAAAAAGTTGATATTCCTCAATAGTTGTAAATGAACTTGAGACCTTTTTTTAAAAAACAGATATTTTAATTTGGGGAGCACTTTATAAGAAGCCAAAAGATTTGAAAAATTTCTTCAATTTTTCCCGTCTGACAAAACAGATGACTCATAAAGAAATGGCATAGGTCACATTTTCATTACATTCCTTGAATTTTAAAAATTACAAAGAATCGATTCTTTTGTGTGCCTTTCTACATCTACAACTTTGAATAAAAATTGTTATTATTAATGAAATCTTTTGTTCAAATATAGATCATGAAATAATGTCAAGTACACAATTTTCTGAAAATATGAGTAGTTTTCACTTAACTTTTTTAAACAACTATATTCGCAAGAACAGCTTGAAAATATTTCCTTAACTTTTTTTGTAGTTACTAAAGGACAGTAAAAAAATTGGTGTTGGACCCATTTTTGGCAAAACTGATATTTTCAAAAATTGCAAGAATTAACATTGCAAAGGAATAATATTATGATATTGGTTATAATATATAATTTAGAATACAATACATGAAAGAGATTTTTAATAAAATCTGTTTGAAAAAATTAGATCTTTAAAAAGTTCATGAACAATTTATTTAAAAACAATAACAACAATTAGTTTGTGCATGATGTCTGCTTGAAATTAATGCAATTAATGAATGCGAGTAATTTTGATTTTAGATTACACACATGGATGTTTATCCTCGAAGTAAACTCCTGTTCACCGTGGGAGAAGGAGATCATGCGGTTTTAATGTGGACAATTAATACAAGGTATTGCTAATTTTAAAATATCACACTTAACTATAATTACACTGGTCAACAAGGTTTTCTGCCCAAGAAATCTGATTAATGAATCAATTGCAAGGAATTACACGAAAAATGTTGTAAAAGCTTTGGATGAACTTTCTAATGCATTCTTGTATTTGAAATGATTCCCAAGTAACTGATGCTAAGGGCTCATGGCTAGGTCTTGGTCATCGTGCTCCCTTTTCACTATGTGGCCCCGGGTTCGATTCTCAGTCAAGCCAAGACTATAGTGTGGGTTTTCCTTGCAATGTCCCAGTATATGTTGCTGCGTGCCAATGAGAAAATTCACATCTCAGTTTGAGAAGACCGAAATCCGGCGTAGGGATGTCTACGTGTTAACCACACATACCACACGTACCCCCGTCACCCATGCCTGTGAGGCAGGGATGTCGCCGGTAGGCCTGAGTTCATTCACGGGCTGTCGTGCCAAGTACATACATAGAAGTGATGCTAAATTAAAAGATGAATTTTATGTAACCACAAATACAGTCATTAATGGCTAATGAACATTTTGAAGAACTGTTAAAACTACTGGAAAAAGCAGATTGACAGTTTCTCAAACACTTCAATTGCAATTTCCTTGGAAACCTTAAAGCTGAAAACTATCAGATATTGTTGCTGATCTGTATTTTTATAAAGCTATGGGATGCAACATGTCTCTGAAAATTCACTTCTTAGACTCTGACTTACGACTTCCTCCAGGAAAATCTTGGGGCTGTCAGTGATGAACCTGGTGAGCATTTTCATCATTAAATTTCTGCAATGGAAAACAGGTTCTATGGCAAGTGTAGTTCTAATATGTTGGCTGACTACTGTTGAACCAAGAGAGGGATGTTCCAGATACTGAATATGTTTGCAAATCATTACCATCACTTTCTATGTACAAAATGAGTAGTTACAATGCAAGTTAGGACGAGTAGCATATCATTTAGAGTTGAATAGCTAGTTACTGATTTTATTAAAAATTATAAAAGTTCAAATGAATATCGCAAAAACTCCTGCTTAATGGAAAAAAAACAAACAACTGGAATGATATTTGAATTCAGTATGAAAAATACTTCTAGAATCTGTTATTTTCATTCTTGTGAAAGAAAAAAGGTTGTTTTTGTAGACCAGTGTTATTTTTTATTCCTTTTTGTTTATTTTAGGGCTGTTCATATAATGGCTCATATTGGTGGAGAAGGTCTCGATCCTTATTATTGTTTAATAGAAGGCGGACAGAATGGTTGGTTATACAAAGAAATTCAAGATTTCTTTTATTATGCCCAAATTCTTCATGAAGGAGAAAATACAACAACTGAACGTAATGTTTCTCATGAAATTCCACTTTGCGAAGTTCCTGATCTTATGAGAGCAATTGGTTATTTTCCTAGTGAACATGAGGTACGACAAGCACTATTATATCTATTCATTATGTTTGACAATTCTAACATCTTATTGCTATTTGAACTTAAAGGTCAAAGTTCATTAAGGAATCAGGCACAGACTCAGAAACTAAGAGAGGCACATGTAGGAGGTAGGTGCATTTTTTAAAGAAAAATTTGAATTTGCCGGTGTTTTAAATTATTATTTATTTACAATAATACAAAAAATATAACATCATATAACACAAACTTTTTATGTTATTATTTAACTACCTAGTATAGAGAATGTTATGTAATGCTGCAAAAAGCTGACGTAACAATGTCTTCAGAAACTTGTTTTGGGGGTCCTTGATACCAGAAATGTGTTTTTTTAAAATCATTTCTGTCAGTATAAACATGTCTGCTCATCCATGAACAACAGTAGTTCCTAAATTAGTCCCTTCCCGGGATTTTCACCAAAATGGATATTCTCCGATCGATCTGGCTGATGATGTCATGGCTCCTTGAATTTGATTCAGTTTTGGAGAATACTTTACATAAACCTTCAACAACTTTAATTTTTTCTTTACATTTTATGCTCTGGAGCAAAGATTAGCTTTATCTACATAACAGGAAATGTGCGTATGTGTGTCACACATAAATGCAAAAACAACTTCACTCATTTCCCTGAAATTTTCACACTTTGTTATTATTAGGAATGGGAGTGTGTGATGAGTGGTTTGAATTAAATCAGACATATGCGGGCGTTGTTGATGATGATTTATTGGTTTACGACTCACACTCCCATTGACTCCACGCAACCCACCTCACAATCAAGAATTAAGCGCGTCTTCATTGCATTCAAGTATTTTACCGTTGCAATTGTGAAATATTGCTCGAATGTCTTGCGAGTAAATCAAATTTCTCCCAGATCACCATCTTAGCAAACACATATCGGGGGAGATATCGCATTGACAGAGAATGTTTTAACAATAGGATACTTGAAACCCCTGTCCAAACCAAGACCTATAACAAACCTATACTTGCGAGAAAGTATTTCATCTGTTAGAATGTGTGCAAAGAGTAGTGTAAAATGTGATTAACAATCATGTGACCAGTAGTGTGTGATATAATACACAGCTCTGAGGTCTGATTTTCATGAAAACCTCTGCAATTTTGAAAATTGCTAAACTCAAAAATATGTGGAACCACCTCCTACCATACATTATTAAGATTCAGTAAAACATGATATTGTCAAAAATTGCCCCCAATTTTATGTTAAATTTTTTGCTGTAAAAGAGCAGTTTACTTCACTCATTTACATGCATTCATTTTCATTAAAAAATTTTAAAACTAAAATTAATTTTCCAATTTGTCCTTTGTCTTCAATAGGAGCTAGTTGTTTCTTTTCTAATGCAATTAATTCATTATAAGATCTTTAAATTATTTCATTAAAGGTTTTTGTAAAATACTTTACTTTTGTAAAGTATAGAAGAATATTTATTATAACTCTTGTAGATCGGGAATGGATGGGGTATCTGCCAATGTATGGAAGCTGCATATTGGAAGTGACATATTTTTTAAGTTTTTGATTCTTTGAATTTTTTCCTTGAAAAGAAGAACAAAGGTGCTGTTTTATATTTAACAATTTAATAATAAATAGTGACTTAATTTCCCCAAGCTACTTAGGTCACTAGTTGATTTTCATTTATATGGGAGGAGGAACAATGAAGAATATTTTTGAATAGATTTTTAATTTGCTTCAGCAGAAAACCAGTTTTTTACATTGTCTTGTTTTCCCTATTGATATTTCGTTTTGTAAATTTGTAAAGCCATTTCATTTTCTGATTATTAGCAATTTTAGCATCCTGATTAATAACTCTTTTCTTTTCGTGACATTGGACAGATATGCATCATATTGTTTAAATAATCTCACTTAAATGTAATTTGAGAGGCAGAATCTTTCCAGTTTGTTCCCTAACAAAAAAAGCCATGGAAATAGTTAAATCGATAGTACCTCACCAAATGTTAATTTTTGTATTCTCACTTGGTTATGTTTTTTTGTTTATGTATGTTTTTGAAATTCCTTCTTTTCTATTGAAAATCATTAATCGTGGCTTGCAATACATCTCTAATGCATTGAAGTAGGATATCACCAATACTAGATGTTCGGCAATACTTTGACCAGCTGATATAAATAATATAAATGGAAACATGTTCATAACCAAGTACAACCTAAAACAACAGAGGGAAGGGGAGAGGCCAGTATATTTCTCAGCCACCTTTTTTTCCATTAAAGTTTTTTATAAACATATAGTAGTGGTAGTAGTAGTACATAAATTGCAAGCGATCTCTCATTATCCTAACTGGATATACACAACAGTAGGATGCCAGCCATTATACAAACATATACAAACTATTAAATATATTCCATGAAGATTCAAATCATAACTTTAATAAAAACATTAATAATTATTATTGATTTTGTCTTGAACCATTTGCAGGGTTGCCAGATGGTTTAGAGAGTCTCTTCCCTAAATGTGACAATTTTGTGAATTGTCAGAGAGATAATCGTGGATTGAACATATTTATGGGGATAAAATGTTTTATTATGTATGGCTACAGGGCCCCTTTCACAATTTTTAGGGAGCACATGCCTATGAACATGTTACTCAGAAATTATTTTTGACAGATTGGGAACATGTTACATGAAATTCAATTTTGGACATACTCTGATAATGGAAAACCCCAGAAGTATATATCATTTGAAGATTTCGTTAAACTATACCTCAATCATCAACCAGCATTTGGTACACCATTCCGTAAATTACAAGAAGCATTTGAAGCTTTTGCTGATGATGAGGATGAAGAAGATGGTCTCATTATGTACCGTGAGACATTGATCAGTATGCTTCAAGAAAGAGGTAAGTTTACCAAAAGCATAGATGAAAATCATGGTAATGATAATAAATATGGCCTTTCTGAATATTGTTCAATTGAAATGACAAATGAAGATCGATGAAATGGAACCAAAATTCACTTTCAATACTGTTCCTCAAGTTTCAACAAGCAAAATTCACATACTCATAACTCTCAAAACTTATTATTATTATTATTAATAACATTTATTCTAGAACCTTATTTTCCTTTCCAAACACCATACATTACCTAGTTTTTCTGTCTACACAAATATATTTCACACTGGCTTAAGATGAAAAAGTACAGCCTGTCTCAAAAATCATTAAAATCGATTGAGCTCCTTCGGAGGAGTTAGTTTCAGACATCATTACTCTCTACACATCTTACATTATTGTCTACATAATTATTACTAATTTATGAACAAAACTGCAAATGTAGTCCTTGGTGAGCTCTCTTAATCGACATTTCTGATTATGTATACAGTCTTTGCTTAGAAAGAAAGAAAAATGTGCTGACAATGTGTTCTTAATTTTCTTCACATTTTATGAAAAAAACAAACAGTGTTACTCCATAATGGCCTTGACATAAGTTGAAAGGCATTACTGTAAAGAATTTTGTGAATTTGTTTCCTATGCAAATTAGATGATGTGTTATCCATTAATTATAGGGACCTCTCTATTTTTAAGAAGGGTCACATAATTAACATGAGGGACATACAAGGAGTGCATGATTTATAAAATTTCAGTCCCTGGAACACACCCCAAATAAATTACTAATTTAATAGAAATAGTTAAATAGTTATATATTTATAATGTAATTTAATAATTATTCCAGAGGTACTGGAATGCCATTCTGACCCGTTCTGCCAGAAATTAAGCCCTGCATAGAAGCATCATATAGACTGATAGAGCAGAGAGAGTGGTTGGAAGAACTCAGGAGAGTACTACAGCAAGAAGACCTAGTATAGGTCATTCCAGATAAACCACAGCAAGAGATGATCATCAACATTAACTGGTAGAGAAACACAACAGACCTTTGGAAACAGGTTGCTTTCAGCAGGGCTTGGGTCATTTCCTCTCATTTGACACACACTACAAACAGAAGAAACTTGCAAACTGTGAAGCCACAGCAAATTAGACACGAGTGGCATTTGGTGTTGTTTACAAACAAGTCTTGCTTCGATCTTGTCAGATTGTTGTTGGAAACATGGCAATACAGGAACTGCTGAGAGAAAAAAACTGTTTCTTATTCTTTGAAGGCATACTTCTCAATTTTCTGAGACAATGGTTTGGGATGCCGTTGCACATGACATCAGTCCTGATTTAATTGTTCAGGAAACAATAACCATCCACCAGTATTCAGGAAGAGAGAAATACCTGTCATACTCTTTATGGCAACACACCAAACATGTGAATTTTGCAAGTATGCCCAGAGGCCTTAAGGCTAGACATAAAGTAGTATGCCTTTCATTGATGATGCCTTTTCATGTTTGGGTTGTCATGGGAAGGTGTTAGTAACCAGTCTCCAGCCTCAAATCTTCAAGATATGACAGTTTTTCTTCAGACAGGGAGAGAAATTTCGCATCTTGACATGACTTTTCATTTCAGTACCATTATAAATACAACTGTATGCCCAAAATGATCAAAAATCTTACTAACAATTACCTTTATTTTGGATGATGAATTTCGAAAGGAACAATAATATCTGATATTTGATTATCAGTATACAATTAGGTATAAGTTTTACCAAGCTTTTTAAAGAAACACTTTCCATTTCTGCAATACAAGTGGGGACTTGCAAACATTACTATGGTTTTCGAGACGAAGAATTGAAGAGTTTCTCTAATCTGCGTAGGTCTGCCTTAGTTTTGAAACAAGCTAATTAATACACTTGAGACATGTGCATATACATTTATTCCACTTTTTTCATGTATTCCTATTTTCATTCTAATATTCTTCATAGTTTTTCCATGCTAATAGTAGAAGTAAAAGGTTCACTTTTTGACAACTAATTTTGTTCTACATGTTAAATGATTTTTTATCTTTTTGAAGTTGCCAAGTGTTTGTTCAACCAACTTTTGTAAACTCAAAATTCAATAATTTCCCATTTAACTGTTTCATTTTTATGAATGTAATAAAATTATTAATAAAAAACACCAAACAAAAAAGAAAATAACCACCATAAAATACTATAAATGCTATTTCCTTACATCCTATTACTATTATTCACAGAGCTAGTCCTACCTCTTTTACCAATTGTTGTTAAGTATTATTTGTAATTATTAAATTATATATATTATCTATTTCTATTAAATTAATAATTTGGAGCACATTCTGGGACCTAAAATTTTACAAATCAAGAACTGTATGTATGTGTATAATTAAGATTGTAAATGAGGAGAACAACCCTTTACGAAAGTATTTTTTTATGAAGGCTAACTTGCACTAAGATTTTTCTGTATTATTTCCAGCGGAATGCTTGTCTCAAGAACAAGTGGTGAAATACCTGCAAGTTTTACTTCCTTCAACACAAGAGCCGGGTGAGAGTTCAAGTTCATCGGGTAGTTCTGAAGGCTCTCTTTGGGAATTTTTACCTGAGGTATGTTTTTGTATACATATGTTTGTTCACATTCAGGAGAACTTTCTAGGTTCTACTGAAAGTGGATATATTGATTAGAAATTATTAAATATTACATAACTGTCTTTATATTAAAACACAGTCTTTGAGTCATTGATGCAAAATTCTTTCCTACAGAAATTATATACATTTTCATTACTTCTTTAATATCATTAAAACGCTTTAGCTTTTTTATTGTTGACATTTTTATTATCTCTCTATTTTAGTTTCCAGTAGATTGGAGGCCTACGTCTTTATATAAAATCCTTAATACAACTTGAGCTAAACAAATCATTGATGAGGTTTGAAACACAATGTGTTTAACAACTTGTAGGATGTGGCAAGTGCATGCAAGATGCAGTATTTTCAGTAATACGAGCAACCTTAGCCTACGCTTCCCCTTCACAGCTGTCTTAATGTGTCTAAAAAATTTCTCATTCAGTCATCCAATACTTCTTCTTTTCCTTATTCAATTAAAATTATTTGGATTATATAATTCATATTGTGAATCCTAGTTGATACACCAAAGTTGGTTTAAATAACTCTTCCAATCTGTCCTTCCCAATTCTTACCTCTATGGTCTTATCTTACATTTCATATTGCTTGCAATCCCTTTGTTTGGTCACTTGGATTGTCAGAAACTGAAAGAGAATAAACATCACCAAAGATCTGCAACAAAACATTTCTTGCTCCAAGTCAATTGTAATTGTATAATTTAAAACTATTTACTACCTATCAAACACACAAAGACATTTTTAAAAGCAGATCATCAAAATTATTTTGTCAATTACTTATTCTGGCCTGTACTTTCCTGTCATGGAATACTTCCATTTACTTAACAATTGCAAATGATTAAAGGATACAACACCACTAAAAAAATTGAGAATATGATTATAAATCAAGATAAAAAATACTGGACTGGCTAATTTTATCCATGGAAGGAAGACTTTCATGAAATCTTTAGGAAATATGCAGAGATGAACAGTAAAGAATAATTGATTGTATTAACTTGGTAACTTGGCGGCGTTTGCAATGTACTTGCCATCCTCTTGATCAACATCAATTTTCAGCAAGAATTTAATGAGAATTCCGTTATTCTTAAATGAACTGTGAGTGTCAGTAGACAAGGACAAAAAAGGCATTTCAGAAAACTAGTCCTGGGCTAACTTCTGTATGATGAAACTATCTTGTAACATTCACCTTCAAACATTTAAAAGCTGTCGTCCTGATTCATAAACTCTTTAGAATACAAAAATCACATTTTCTTAAAGAAGAAAAGGGATGAAGATATATCCATGCCCCAATGTATCCAATAATTCTTGATTTTCAAATAAATAAAAGTAGTTCTGTTATCTGCTTGGAACTGCAGTATTAAATTCACTCCTTTACTAGTACATAATGTCCATAGGAGAAAAAATTAAAGCAACCTTCCAGCACACTAGAGATTATCATTGTCTCTAGCACTGCAAGACTACATGGATGCCAAGAGTTGAACTCATAACCCAAAGGAAGAAAAGCAAAGCAAAACATGAAATTTGCTTGAACAGAGAGAGAAAAATGTCCACCTCCATGGAATATTTTTTGTGTTTCTCATTCATCATTCCTCCATTAAGGCAATTTGTTCTCACCATGACAGAATAGATCAAATTAACCTACCATTTATGCAAATATATTTGTTTTTAAAGTGGAATTTGGAAAGTTACTGAATCTCAGGGTCAAAAATAGTAAACATTCAATTCAAATATTCTAAAGGATAAAATTCTCCTAACATCTTCAAAATGACACTCAAGAAAATTTGTTTATTTTGTTTGCAAAACAACTGGTAATTTCCATGTGCATTTTTGAAGGAATGATTTTTAATTCTGGGTTTGGGATAAGAAAACACTTCTCATTTACTTCCTTGCCTTCCCTACCCCACGTCAATCCTGAAACTTTAAATGTCTAATTACTGCAAAAACTTTTATTAATTTTCAAAAAATGTCCTTCATTGTGCATGTTAAACATTTTATCGTTATTTTGCTGCAGGACATAACCTACAAAGCATTTGTGGAAGATATTTTAGGCATACGTCCACCTCCCAAGCAAAAAGATGCAGAAAAGGGTAAATCAAAAGAAAAATCAGATGACATAGTAACCCTTGTAGGTGGTGTAGTAGACACAGTGTTATCTGCAGCTGAGGTGTCACAAGAAGAAATATTAGAGGAGGATGAAGACAAAACAGAGGAAGAAGATGAATGCATTGATGACTTTGACTGAACGGAATACATGCAATTACAAACAACTTTAGAATCTTAATTACTCTGGTATGTTTTACCTATCCTACGAACAAGAATATTGTTGACAAAGTAATGCCTGAAAATTAGAAATTGTACACAAATCTCTTATTTGTGAAAACTATGTATATCGCAGAAATATAGATATTTTAGTTCTTACAAATGAAAATATGTTTATTTTACTTGAAGCATTTTAGTACTAAACATCTGCAAAAGTCTGTACAAATTTTAGAGCAAGTGTAACTTGTCCAGGTTTTTTTTTTATTTTTATTTTTGGTTGTGAAAACGTTTACATACTCTATGAACAATTACAATAATATGAATGCATACAATACAGTATTACAGAACTATGCAAACTATTATTTAATCACCTTGACAATATATTCTCTTGAGAATTGAATTTTTTAAAATTAGTATAAATCAATGTACAATTGTCACTTATTTACAAATATTTACACAACATTTTCTCAATACAAACACAGGAACAAGTTCCGACAACACACATGACTGGAGCTAGGGCTTTAAACAAAAACAATGTTTAAATGAAGGACTAGCTCAGGAATAGAAAGTTTCCACCAAAACTGCATGTAACACAATTCTGATATTTAACAAACCACAACTAAACATGCAGTAAATATTCACCTCTTGCAGCAGTCTTTTTCCGACAGTCAGGGCAGAACCATTTTCCTTTAGGGGGAACCATTATTCCCACACATTCAAAATGGAACCACTCTATACTACAGTCTTTTCCATCACAAGCTATCATCTCTGATACCTCATCATATGGACATTGACAATAACAATAGAGATTCTCATTCTTTTGCTGGGTAACATTACCACTCACAGAAGACACTGCATTTGTCACTGTTGTCACAGTTTCAACATCACTATCAGCATCAGACTGTTCATTGTCACTATCACTATTTGATGAATCACTGCTACTTCTTTTTGCTTCATGGCCACTATCACTTTCATCACCATCTTCATCATCTGATTTTTCTGGTACAGACAATGGTTGAACATGAACTGGTTCAGGAGGTGGAACATTTACACTCACTGCTCTGTATCCAAAACCACTAGAAAGAGGTGGTTGAATTTGAGGCGTACTACTGCTAGCAGGGATTACTTTTCGCCACTTGTACGGTTGATGTGGTGTGTTTTCAGCCTCTTCGTCACTACTATCACCATAAAATTTTTTAGGTATTCTTTTCCGCTTAGACAACCTTTTACTTTCTGTCTCTGATCCACTACCTGTACTGTGATATGCAGTGGGAGTTGACGAAGCTTCAGGATTAGCAGGAGAGAAAGTGTCATGGTGTAGTCTAGATACATGTGACGAGGTAGGGGTTTGGGAATTTGCTACTGGTGATACAGGACGTCCTGGATTTCCAACAGAAAAAGAAGGACTATTATAATAAGAAACAGGAATGTTTAACTTTAATTTACTTTCTATTTTCTTTTCAGAGTTATGTTGTGCTTTTTTATGTCGTTTTGTTTTTCCTTTCTTTTTTTGTACTGGTTCCTGAACTTCTGGTGGGGGTGGAGGACTAGGTTGAGCTATAGTTCCATTATTTACAGGTGCAACAGCAGCCAAAAGAAGCAACTGATTTCTTTTCTCAGCAAGCAATTTATTAGCTTGCCTCTGGGGATATTTGTCATAAAAATCTTCATCAGTTTCAGTCTCTGTTGTATCTAGATCAGATTCCCGTATCAACAACTCATTTTCTTCAGGTTCTGGAGCAGCCATAACTGGGTTGTCATCAACTTGCAAAGACCCTGCACCGGATGAATCCATTTGCACAGGAGTGTGTGTAGTTTCTAATGATGCATTTAGTCCACACCCTGCTTCTGTTGCTGATGTTGACAATCCCATTGCAGGTGGAGGAGTCCCTCCTCTTGATCCGGTTTCCAATTTTCGTTTTGTTCTTTCTCTCCTTCGCTCTCTTCTTGCAGCCTGCCTTCGTCTTCCTTCAGAGCTAGAACTATCAGAATCAGAACTAGAAGATGAAGATCCAGAACTACTTGAACTTGAACTGGAACAGCTACAATTTGTTCCGCATGTACAACTACTTGAATCGCTGTTGCTACTGGAATCACTCGAGGATGAACTTCCGCTCTGTTTCTGTTTCTTCTTTGGAGATTTCTGTTTTTTCTTGGGACTTGAAGTCAAAGATGCAGGAGGAGTAGGTGGAGGCGGAGTGGGAAGTGAGGGATGTGATACTGGGAGAGGAGGAGATTGTAGAGGTGGAGCAGAAGGGATGGGTGGAAGAGGGGCAGTCAGTTCTTTTTTATCTTCCGATTGAGGAGAAGTATTGAAACAATAGTTGTGATCAGCACCAAAACCACCACCTTTATCATCCAAGTTTTCTGCAGTTTCTGCTCCTTCTCCAACTATATTAAGTAATGGTTGAGCAGAATTAGCATTCAAAAGAGTATTCTTGTCCTCATTTGGTTTCTCTGGCAACACACAATAATCATGATCAGCCATAACAACATCAACAATAGCATGGTTTTCTAGACTATTATCTGCCAGAGAAGTTGAAGAACTACCAACTAAACTTCCACTAGCTTGTGCTTGCAAAATTTCTCGCTTTTCTAAATTTGCTTTATAAGTTTTGAAATTATCCCAAACACCATCTACTATCTGGACAGGCTGCACTTCTTCTTCAGTTGATGGTTCACCATCCTGAGATTTAAGTGTTTCGCCAGCATTTTCATTTGAAACCATTTTGACATTATCTTCAGGTTCAGTGTCTTTTACTGGTTGCTTGCTTGTTGGGCTTGGCTCTTCATCAGATTCGTCACTTTCTGATGATAAGTTTAAAGGTGGAAGATCATACACATCAACTACTTTTGATTTCTTGTCGCTTTTTGTTTCTTCATGGAATTTAATTGAATTGATTTCATCTGCCTCCTTAGAAATCTCCTCAGGAGCTTCAGAACCTCCTGAAGTGTCAGCTGTTGCTGTTGATTTTTCTGCCACACATTCAGAATCCTCTTCTTTAATATCTTTATCAACATCATTTTCTGCAGCAGCGCTATGAGATTTTATTTCATTTGGTTCCATTTCATGTGTTTCTGTTTCGTTCAGTTTTTCATTATTTTTGTAGTCTTTTTCAAAAACGACTTGTTTGTGTTTCTCTTTATGCCTTCTCAAAAGTTTTTTGGAAATAAATCTTTCTTCACACTCATCACACTGATAAGGTACATCATCAGCATGAAGTCTTTTGTGCACTTTGAGAGCTACAGCACGTGTAAAACTAGCATTACACTCTTCACACAGAAAAGCTGTTGGTGGGATGCAGAAATGGTATACATGTGGCCACTTTTTCTGCAAACATTTTTTACACAAAACACTTTCTGTACCATGTTTCCAGAACAAATGCTTAGTAATGTCTGGCTTATTTCTATAGGCTATACCACATCGATAACACAAATGGTGAAGTTTATGTTTCCATACATGATTTGAGAGTTTCTGTTGGTCTCCAGTAGTTTCCAAACACACATCACAAGCATGATGTCGTTTTCGAAGATGAACCATTAATCGAAATGCTGAGGGTAAACCATCAACAACACATAAACAGCAGCGGAATAATATATTACTATCAGGTACATATATGCCAGGGCAAAGATGACATAACAACTCACTGTAACTGTAGAAATTAGATTTACACATAATACAAAGAAGAATAGTCTTTTGGTGCATTTTACGATTATGGACATATAATTCTTTATGAAGAGTAGTGATAAAATGACAATGAAAGCACTCGTATGTCCGATCATATGGTCTTGTAAAACTTTTATCAGCACTGTCATAAGTGTCTGTATTAAAAAACATATCTTGAAGCTCTGATAACTTGGATTTTAAATTATCCACGAATCCAAAAACAGGCGTAAGTTCTCCACTATCCGAGCACACAACGGGTTCAAACCTATGCTCTGCCAGAAGATGCAACACAAGTTGTTTACCGTTAACAGCTATCTTTTTGGCATGATTGCAGTAAACACAAGTACTACATGATATTTTGACACATTCTTTTACTATTGACTGAATTGATAAAGCATCTAGGGACTCTTCAAGAGTCAATTCAAGTAATGGGACATCATCTCCAGCAATCTGAATATTATCTTGTGGCTCTTCCCCCAAATCAGTAGTATTTGTGGGTTTCTCTGTCAATTTAACATCCGATTCATTAGAAATATCATTTTTGGACTCGTGAATTTCATTAGTTTCATTCTCTGTTGCAGCAGAATGGTCATCATTTGCAACATCTTGTTTCTCTCCCTCATCCTCACTTCTTGCATCATCAACAACAATTGACATTTTATCACTATCAGATTTGTCAATATCAGATTCATCAGACTTAACAGTCTTCTGCGGCTCCTTATCCTCAGGTTCATTCTCATCAGAAGATGCTTCTGAACTTGAAGAAGAGCCATCACTATCATGACTATCTGCTCCTGATGCAGATGAATCCGATTCCGATTCACCACCTTTTGGGGATTTAAACTCACTAACTGATGAAGGTTCTACTTTAGCATCATTGGCATTTGAAGAGATGAGTGGTGGTGGTTCAGATTTCTCATCAACTTCCATTTGTCTATTTTCTTCATTATCCTCAGTGAAGTGAGGCGATAATCGGTCAACCTCCATTTGATTCTCATCTTGTGAAACTAAATCTACAGATTCAATTTTATCATCATCTTTATCATTATTGTCAGCACTATTATCTTTTGCCGTTTCTTCCATAATGTAAGCTGCGTTCCGATTCTCTTCAGTAGGTTGTTGTTCATCATCGTCGTCCTCACCATCCATTTTTTCTGACTCTATATTTGTTTCATCATTGGTTCCATCTTTATTTGCAATATTTTCATCAGGACCTACAACTTTCTGTTTATCTGGTTCATGAATATTTACATGACAATAGCTTGCTGCATCACTAATATCATAATCATCATCTAAATCTCTAGTGTTATGACTTTTATCAGATCGATCATGATTTTGTTCAGATAACTTAAGTGATTTGCGCCCAGTTGTTAATTTATCTGTTTGAACAGAAAATTTGGATGCTGAGGTCTTATCTTGCATGTTTAATTGAGAATTTTGAGAAGTATCAGTACTTGTATTAACAGCAGCAGTTTGTGAGTTATTCTGAGATGGTGAAGCCAAAGAACTGCTATCTGTGAAAGCTCTTCGACAGGTAGGAAAATGAGCACCTTTCAACCCACATAATGAACAAGCTTGATCAGTATTTCCTACTGAAGTATCTTTGCACAAATGATCAAAGAAGTTATCTCTTTCAGAAAACATTTGCTCACATGTACAACACATAACAAAAAACGATCCTTTAAATTCGTTTAAGAAGTGCTCTGGTGTATTATATGAATTGTCAGCAATTTCATGCTTCGCTGTCAAATGTTGGGCTAATTTGTCGGCTTGTGAAAACATTAACAGACAAAATAAACAAATGTGCCTTTTGTGTACCTCTCTCATATGCAAAAACAAATTCCAATTTTCATAATATGTTCCACATGCTGAACATAAATACACTTTTCGAGTTATGCGAAAATTTGTGGATGGTGCTGGTTCTACAATTGGAGATGGAGGAGGTTTTGTGTAAGTGTGAATCCTGATGTTTTTTAAACACACATTTTGATGTTCCTGAAGCTTCAACATAGATGGGAAGCCAGATTCTCCACAATTGTAACACTTGAACTTCACTGTTGGTTGCAGACCTAAGTATTGAGCATATTCCGTAAGAGGTGTGTTGCCCTGTGCACCATCTGGTAATGGTTGATGAGATACTAAAACCTGTGGTGTCTCTAATACTAGTTTTTTTGAAGGCCTTTTGTTTTTTATTCTTAGTTCTTCTTGAACTGAAGGTGATACATCCGGAGATTCCTTTGCGGATACTTCTGACACCTGAGCAATATATCGTTTCTTAAAGCCTTTGAATTGAATGTTGCCCTTGACAGATTCTGAGGGGGAAATATCGCTTGATATTTCTTGAGTGGGACTAGTCTGATGTTTTCTTTTCAATCCAATTTTATCTTTTGAAGAAACACTTGATTCTTTGTCATTTAGTAAATTACTGTCCATTATCTCTATCTCACCATTTACTTTCACAACATTGTCCGGATCATTCACTTTTTCAGCATTATTGGCCTCGTTCACACACAAATTATCACTCACAGCATCATCATGATCATCATCATTCATGGAATGACACTCTTGCACACATGCTTTTTTACATATAATCTTGTTTGCATCATATCTCTCTGGACTTTTTATTTCATATGTCTCAAAAACTTGTTCGTTTATCTTAGATATTGTTTCTCCTTCGTCTACTCTTCCAAACTTTGGTTCTTCAGTTTCTGATGATTTTTCTATTGAATTCAATGGACTGTTGCAAGGTGGTTCTTCCTCATTATCAGAGTTGCACGAGGTTACTTTCTCTTCCTGCCTTCTCGTCTCAATCCATTGTTCTCTTGCCACCTCACTCTCCACAAGTTTAACAGCATCTCCATCACAAACAACTAAATCAGCATTATTTTTTAATGATTGCTGTTTCACTTCCATTTCACTATTGTGCTCACTTATATCATTTTCTTCACGTATGTTTTGCAGCTCATTTGCAATTGGACTGTGAACAATTTTAAGGTGCAGCTGCTCATCAGTACATTCAGATTCACTCCCTAAATCTTCTGGGTCACCAACTTCTTTTGGAATTGGATTTTCATCTGCCTCTTCCCAATCTCTTTCTCCTTTTCCAGGAGAAATTTCAACATGGGCATCAACATTTTGCAGTGTTGCATCATCATCAACTTCCATTACCAAATCTCTCTCATTTGAATCAATATCTTCATCACAACTGTTGTCGTTATGTGCACTTTCCTCAGGAAAGGGAGAAACATCTTTGGCATTACAATTATCTCTGTAATTTTCATTTTGGGATAGTTCTTCTGTTTCTTTATCCTCATCATAGTTTTCATGTTGAAGATCAGTATCACTAAGTGGGCCACTGCAACTTCTATCCTGTTCAGTGTTGCATTCTTCCTCATTACCGTCTTCTGGCTGATCTTGTTTTTGAAAGTTTTCACTCTCAGTGCCTTCATATGAATTATCAGATATTCTAAGTGCTTCATCTCCAAGATCTTCACTTGGATAATCTGATAATTTTTCAACTTCGTCACCGTCATTTAAATTATCAAATTTTTTAAGGGTATCATCACTAAATTCTTCACTGGGATGATCATATGTCCTATCATCATCTTTATTAGGATGTTCAGATGCTTTCACAATATTGTCGACGTCTTCATTTGGATGATGTAATGATTCAAAGTTTTCATCACTGAGGTTATTTGAACTGTCATATTTTTTTAAGTTTTCATCAGTGTATTCTGTATTAAGATCAGGTGATTTTACATTTAAATCATCCTTGCTTGAATGATCATACTTTTCAAAACTTTTGTCACTGAATTCATTAACCTGCTCAGATGTTTTCATACAATCATTATTTGGGTCATCTGATATTCTGAAATTTTCATCTTCGTACTCCTCTAGACAGTCAGATTTCTGAATGTTTTGATCATGGTATTCATTTGGACTGTCAGATTTGCATACTTTTTCATCATTGAATTCACTAGGACTGTCAGATTTCTGCACATTTTCACAGTCTTCATCCGAATGATCATGTGATTTTAAATGTCCAACATGATACTCTTCATCCGGTTGATCATACGATTTTAAGCATTCTTCATGCTCAGGAGATTTTAAGTGTTCGTCACCATATTCATTTTGATGTTCAGTTGATTTTAAGGGTCTGTCAGACTCGCCTTGACGATCAGGTGACTTTACATATCTGTCAGACTCATCTTGATGATCAGGTGATTTTAAGTGCCCATCATATTCATCTTGATCAGGTGATTTTAAAACTCTATCATATTCACCATGATGATCAGGTGATTTTAAGTGTTCATTATACTCATCTTCATCAGGTGATTTTACAGATCTATCATCATACTCTTCCGAATTATTAGGTGATTTTACATTTGTGTCATCATACTCATCTGAATGATTAGGTGATTTTACATGCATGTCACCATACTCATCTGAATGATTAGGTGATTTTACATGTGTGACATACTCGTCTGAATGATTAGGTGATTTTACATGTGGGTCATCATAATCATCAGGATGATTAGGTGATTTTACATGGCTGTCATCATACACATCTGGATGATCAGGTGATTTGACATGTCTGTCATCATATTCACCTGGATGAATATGTGATTTTAACTGTTTACCATCATACTTTTCAGCTGGACAAGTAGGTGATTTTACATGTTCACCATCATACTCATCATTTTGAAAATCGGAGGATTTAAAATCTTCATCATTCTCATTTGAATATTCAGATGGTTTAAAGTGTTCACTTTGCAAATAACTTTCAGGAAGTTTAGAGGCAATTTCATCAGAAGATGCTGAGGTTTGATGATCTTCTTCTTCTTCTTCCTCCTCTTCCTCTTCTCCCAGAGAAGAATTAACATTCTCGGTTTCTTCCACACAGGAAAATGTATTTCCTTCCCCTCCAGAACACTGTTCACCTTGATCTTCATGAGGTTCAGAAAAATAATCTTGAGAAACAATTCTGTCATTCTCCTCTGAAGAAGTAGGTTGTTCACTAGGTGCACATGGTGATGATTCACTTCTTTCATTATTGTGCAGTTCATCACAGTTCTCATCCAAAAGCTCTGAAGAATTGTCAACAGGATTAGTATCAGAACTGAAAGTTTTGTTTTCACTGTCTTGGTCAGATAAATCTTCCTTTTCATCAAATGTAGCTGGAGATACGTATGGATTATCTTCTCTTGGAGAAGTGGAGGATACAATGTACTGTTCTCCAGGGGACAGGCCTTTTTCATCTTTAGTCAAAGCAGCATCATTTTCAGATGATCCCTGGTTGTCTTTCCAATTTTGTTCATCTGCAGTCAGAGAGATGTCATCATCACCATCCTCCATGCTGAGGAAATTTCAGGCACACCAACACCTGAAACAAATGTAGTTTTATTAATCAAAATATTTTTTTAAATCCCACGTGCAAACTTTTTGACAGTTAGAAATGTGTCAAATTCATGCCATAATTTTTAACTATTCACACAATTACAAAGTTCATTGATTCACTTACAGGCAGACAGTTTTAGTTTCAATTACCTACTGAGAACGAACCTTCACATAAAATTCATTGATCAAAGAAGTGTTTGTCTATCTTGTTCTAATTATTTTTTCTCATCACATTACAAACTTCAGCAAACCACAAATTAAATGAAAAGTCGAAGAGAAAGCATTAATTTTTATCAAAGCAAATTACATTAAAGGTTTTATTGCAATACACACTGAGAACATTTATGCAACAAGCGCTAAGTTTCAATGCACGTAAGTTTCATATGTCAAACTCACTCAATTTGCAAGTCCTGGTACTTATAATATTTAGATTTAATCTATAATTATAACACTTACATGTGTTAAATACTTCAAAAATGATTAGAAATATAAAACATTCCTACTCTAAATCATGCATAACAAAGCAAGTTAAGGCTGACAACAACAACAACACATTTCAATAACAATGAGAAATGTATAACTTCATCAAGAACTTAAATGAAAACTGAACAAAACTAAATGAATTCTCCAAAAGACAACAAACAAGAGAAGAATCTCAATTATACATTTGTGATGCACATCAGAGGTCATGTCTCAACATCTATGAACCAATAAAAATAGTTTTATTATGCTAACCGTTATGGACAATAATATTATAACTCTCATATTTACAACTCGTTCTTTTCTTCATCTATTACGCGTATACATTTGGAGAATGTACCCAAGTAAATAAGCGTCTTATCCAAGATGGCCGCCATAGGCAATAAACTAGTTTAGTGACTGAATCGAATTATGTGTGTAAATCAGCTTCATAAACATGAATTATAAAATAAAATTAGTATTTGGCGTGAACAACATTTAAGAGACAAAAGAAAGTACATATAATGCTAATGATATGGCGCGTACATCATGCAACATCATCCACCCAAGCCATTACCTGAATGGTGTTATATGTAGATACGTATTTTAGAGACTTCTCTTCCTTGATGTCGCTGAATTTTGGTTTCGTGTATAAAGAACACGATCTCAACACTTCCCCGCCTAAAAGGTTAGTAAAATGGCGTCACAAACAGTAACAACATAATTCCAACTTGGGTCGATCGTAGTGGCATCTTTTATCAAACACCGACAACCCCACAGAACAATGTCTTGCAACCACTAACCCAAGTATTCTGCTTTTCTTCCACTCACATCATGAACACTTCATTCTTCACTTGCTAATTCCTCTCACTATCAATGATACATGGTATTTCGTGATCAGACAGATCTTATAACACTCTATTCAATTGTTTTTAATAATGGATAAATGGGCAGCAGTCATTGCAATTCCATGATGCTTTGCACCAACTGCAGGTTTATCGTAAATATTAATAAATGACTGACTCTGGCCGCTGCGCGCCGACGACACATGGGCACCAACTTAAAATGTTTGTAGCTTTAGGAAAATTGCTTACATATTCTGAATTTTTCCGAGGCGTCACACGGTTGAGGATGTCATTGAGTAATAATAGAATGTTCTTCCAAGATATTACTCAATTACGTTGCGGATTTGAAAGATGTCAAACTTAGGGACAGGATCTTTGTTTTTTAAACGGCGATGAAAACTAATAATTATATTTAGGGTGTTATATATCGAGTATAAGCTCACAAATATGCGTTATTTTAATAGGGATATTCTTAGGAACTGAAAGTACGTATTTGAATTAGTCTAACATCGATTATAATTAATTTTCTCGCAATATATAACTTTAGTTTTGAGAAACTTATTTTGATGTTCAATGGATGTGTTAGATTCGGTTCTCGAAGCTTTTATTTACTTTTGCTGTCTTAACAGAGATCAAAGCAATTCCAGATTAAACGAAGGTAATCTCGCAACAATCAGAAATTCCAAATAAAAGAATGTCGTTTTTTTAAACTTCACAATGGCGTTATGTTGCCTAACATGCATTGATCAGTCATCAAAGAGTTTGCTTACCTACTAATGTCATGAGAGACATTTGGTTGTTCTTTATTCTTTCTCGTGTAAATTCAGCTGACAGATTGCCCCGTCTACCCGACTGACACTTGCGCAGTGACTAGTTGTAGTTGAACAGTTTTGAGGTTGTGAACCGTATTGTGGCCATGTAATTCAACAGTAGTAAGATAATAGCGTTTATTTTTTGGTCCGACTGCTCTCAGTTTTTAATTAACACAGATGGCAAGCCGAACTGATAAAGGTCATGAGAAAGTAGACGTCGAGGTGAGTGTTCTGAACGAAAGTTTTCTTTTAAGTTTCTGAAGAATATTGTACATATTCTATTACCCTTTATCAGCTTACTGGAGGAAGAACAAATGATTTGGTCGCGTTATTGTTGTAACAATCATAGTGTTACTAGGCATTTAAATTAGTGTCTTGTTTTCTTGACAAAATCTGGATGATACTAAATTTTTGTTATTTGAATTAAATACTTTATATTTATTGCAAGTGAATATTTTCCACTCAGAGTTATTTTTCGACGATTTTTTATGTTGGTGTAGTTACAAAATTATAAAGGAATTACTATTTATATGTAGATGAATTTTTGACTTCAAAACTATGGAGCAAATTTGCTCTGATCTTCCAACCACTGTAAGAATAACTTCTCATATATTTATTAACCTTTTAAAGTGTTGACTTGTTGATAATTGTTAATAATCACATTAATGCACTGTAATATATCATCTTTTTCATTCTCAGACACTTGCAGAGGTGTTCCGATGCTTTATTTGCATGGAAAAACTTCGAGATGCTCACCTATGTCCACATTGCTCGAAATTGTGTTGCTATGTATGCATTAGACGTTGGTTAACAGAGCAGAGATCTCAGTGTCCTCACTGCAGAGCTTCATTGCATCTTCATGAACTAGTCAATTGCCGTTGGGTAGAAGAAGTGACCCAACAGCTTGATACTCTACAGGCTGTTGGTTTAAATTCGTCTCGATCTGAGGATAATGAAAGAGACAGGTAAAAATTGGTATTGCATTTTATTAACTAAAATTTTTGATTCTTTCAATCCAAAATATAAGGTTACTTTTCTTGCTCTAGGTGTGAAGCGCATCAGGAAAAGCTCTCTGTATATTGCTGGACATGCAGACGATGCATATGTCATCAGTGTGCTCTGTGGGGTGGTACTCATTCTGGGCACACTTTCAAACCACTTGAAGAAGTGTATGAACAGCATATAACACAAATTAAAGATGAAGTTGCCCAATTACGACGAAGGCTTATGGAGCTAATTAGTCTTGTACAAGAGGTGGTAAGTAAAACAATGGCTTAAACTTATTGCTTTGGTAACAATTTGATTTCAAACAATTATCTTTCGAAAAATGAGATGTGTCTAATGACAGCTTTGAAATTTAAAAGAAATTTCAAGGAATCAAATATCAAGACAGTAGCTGGCTCCCTGTCCAAGGCCCCCTGTAGGTATAAATCTCCATGGTTATGTACACTGATATGTCACTAGACATAAAAATCACTGTCACCAGAGAGGAACCTAGTGAGCAAAAGTGTGTGTGACCTCGTTTAAAGATCTAGAATTAAATGATATTGTGTAGAAAATATCAAAGTCATGAGAATCAATCTTGGAATGTTTGTAGAAAAGTTCTACAAATCCGCTATACGGAATATTCAAAACCCTAAAAATATTGTTTCATGCCTTTCAGTATTAAGTCTTTTAACTAATGAAATAAGGGATGTTTACAAATTCTGGAGCAATACCATCACTATTTACTATAAACTCAGGGTTGAATGTGTTAAAAATGTAGTTTGAATGATTATTTCCTTTTTGTTGTGTTGTATATTTCAATGCAATATATCAAATACATTGCCATGTTATAAGCCCTTCTTTTACAGGTGTGTGTGTGTGTTTTTGTTTATATATATACACATACTCTTGGCACGACAGCCTGTGAACAGGCTCAGGCATACTGGTGCCTCGAAGCCTTTTTTTAAAATCCTTAAAGAAATCTTTGCTTGGCTGAAGTCTAGTATACTGTACAACTTTGGAAGTCGTTTAAACCGGCACTTCGGGCCGCTCCGGCAGTAACTGCACAGTTTGAATTTTGGAGGCTTTCTTGAAAAGTGCTTTCTTGTAAAGGTGAATTGGTAATTAGGCGGTGAATAGACTAGAGGATGTTTATAGTGAATGCGAGGGCCAAAGGCCCGAGCCTCACCATGACTTGGATCCGGGTGAGCGTAGTTAGAAAACTTGCAGTTTAAAGTAAATTGGCATTACAATGTGACGGGGACAAAGTGTATGAAGGGTGAGCCATGAAAATCATCTATCCGTAAGTTTTATTATTTTTTATCAGAGCGTGTAGAGTAATTTGAGGGAGGGCTTAAGGAGACTCCTCCCCTCGCCTCCACACTTCTCTGAGGGTGTATCATGTACCATACTTTAACCCTTTGCTTTTTTCAACAACCTAAGAAAAGTTAAACTAAAAGCCCTTGGAAAAACCGTGAATAGACAGGTTGAATACCTCTACATGCAAAGTTTGTTTCACTCTTTGATCTCTTATTACACTCTCTCTCGCCTATCATAATCTCATCAACTATTCATTCTCCGCCTAAAAGGAGTTTTACTCTCCAGAATAGTAAAACAAACTTTCCTAAAAACCTTATACAATCTGTCAGAGTTATAGCATCAACATGTACACTATCCATAATGTAATGTTAGTCTTTCGCTTGTTTGACTGAAAACATGTCAAATGCGAATTGTGAATGATTCTGAATCTGTATCTGGCTCATACTTAATATTCTACCTCTAAGTCCAGAACCTCGTGTACATAAATAAAACGAACATATGCTTTTATGTCTTTATACAACAAAACCAAGCATATGTATCAGCAAAATATGTAATTGCATATCTTTTGTGCACTTAAGTGCATAATTGCATATCTTTTGTGCATTTGTCCATAGATCTAATTATTCCAACATATGTGCATACTTTGATAACTGCTATTTTTCCTTTCATTCACAACTACCAGAAAAAATTACTGTCCAACATTTGATATATAAATGAAAGAACTAGAAATGCAATGAACTATTTCCGACGTACCTTAATAAATATATGGGAAGAAAAAGTGGTACAGACTTAATACCATTCATAATTATGAACAGTTCATGTTAGTCAATCTAATGTTAAAGGAACCTGTTAAGAGATGCATATAAACTTCTTCATGGTCCTGATACAGTGTTCTTGTCAATTGTACTACAAATTATCCATTATGTACATAACATATATTGAGTTTTTATTCCGTGTTCATTGGAATTTGTAATATTTTTAATTCATTATATCCATTACTGGTATTATTTTTGCAGGAACGCAATGTGGAATCGGTACGGGCTGCTAAAGATGAACGTGTTAGAGAAATTCGTAATGCTGTGGAACTGATGATTGCTCGACTAGACTCTCAGTTAAAAGCTAAACTTCTTACTTTGATGGGTCAAGAGAGTTCTCTAACACAGGAAACTGAACAATTGGAAGCTCTTCTACAGGAAATTGAACATCAATTGCATTCTTGTACTAGATCAGAATTGATTAATAAGAGCAATGAGATATCTCGAATGATTCATCAAGTTCGTAAGAAGCCAATGGCTAGTTTTGTCACTGCACCTGTACCTGCTGATTTCCAAAGGTTTTAATTTTTTATTAGCGATAAAGGATCATTATTATGAAAGAATTAGAACAAGATTGTAAGAAACATATTCTTGTATTTTTGTTATGTTTCAGTGAAATAGTTCCTGGCTATGATAGTAGCACTTTTGTTATGCAAAACTTTGTACAACTGCAACATAAGGCTGATCCTGTGTATTCCACACCTCTACATGTTAACGGATTGTGTTGGAGGTTAAAAGTGTATCCTGATGGAAACGGAGTAGTAAGAGGGAATTATTTGTCAGTTTTTTTGGAATTGAGTGCCGGACTTCCAGAAACTTCAAAGTATGCTAAATTAAAGTGGCATGTTCTCAGAAATTGTGAATGTAATTTTGAAATTATGTTGAGAGTTTATTTTTGATTTTTACTTTTGTTTTAGATATGAATATAGAGTTGAGATGATTCATCAGGGATCTCGAGATGCAAGTAAAAACATTGTACGAGAATTTGCTTCTGATTTTGAAATTGGAGAATGTTGGGGTTACAATAGGTTCTTTCGTTTGGATTTGTTGGCTAGTGAAGGCTATCTCAACACTGAAACAGACACCTTAATTTTGAGGTAAATTTGAATGACTATTTTGTGCATTCTCACAAAAATTACTCTGTAGTTGACCTTATATATTTAAACATTTTTCAGTATATGTGATCTAATCCTTGCTTCAGAAAATCTGCAGAATGTTTCATTATTCTCGTTGCTACAATGCCCTGGTTTTTCAAAACAAAATAAAAATCTGTTACACAGGCTAGTGCTTTGGTTAATGAGTCTTTATAACTGACTTTTCAGAGTCCCTTGGTTCTCTTGTAATCTATTGCACCCTGTTAGCATAATTTCTATTTTGATATTGTTTTGAAAAATGAAATTTACTTTTTAAAATTTATTCTGTTGAACAGCGAAAAAAAAATTAAGGATAATATTGCAGAATGTTGTGTGCTTAACTGCAGTAAAAACTACTTACTTGTTTTCTTAAAATAATAACTAAATGATGATAAATGGAGGATGAAAATGAATTTAACTTCTCCACCAAAAGCACATAAACAAGTTTTTATTTAAATATATGTTCATCTTCAGAAAACATGATTTTTTATCTTACTATTTGCTACAACCCTTTTGAGAACCATTATATGCCAGATTGAGAATTCTGTAGAGAAAACTATATTTTTTTCGATAATGAAATGGGGGGGCATTATGTTTGTTAGTCATAAAGAGTTTTAATTTTATATGATACTATCCATTTCAATTAGACAAACTAATCTGCTATCCTCAAAGATTTCAGGTACGCCCACCAACATTTTTCCAACGTTGCAGAGATCAACAGTGGTATATAAGTCATCTGTTGACTGTACAAAATCAGTATGCTACTCAAATAAATGAACTGAAAGAGGTAAATGTTATTCCAACTATTTTCGTGTACATTAAAGATAAGGGGCATTTTTAAATGATTTGTTTTGTTGCATTTATTTCAGCGGTTAGCAATTGAAATATCGAGAAATAATACTGCTAGCAGAAATAATGGTACAAGTGATACTTCTTGTCCTACAACAAATGCAGTCATAACTAGTGTTGCTACAACTACAACAACCACTGTCACATCTGTGCCATCTCCTGTTATCCCCACTAGTTCTTTCATTCAGCAGCCCCAGTCAATTTCTTCTGGTGTATCTTCTACACCGGGAACGGACACGTTGTTGACCACCTGTTGTTTACTAGAAATGCCTATGAATTCTCAATCGGCATGTAGGTAGGTGAACATTTATTTTTTCAAGTGACTCTAATTGAACATTGGCAATTGAAAAATAAATTGAATGTCTGCCATAATGTATTTAATAATCATAATAATAAATATTATTGTTAATAATAATAATAATAATAATAATAATAATAATAATAATAATAATAATAATAATAAATAATAATAATAATAATAATAATAATAATAATTAAGATTACATTAATCCTACTTTATGATGCACTATTGTCAAATATTCTGAAGGATGCAGTTTTTTGTGAATTTCAAAAATATGAAGTGACAACCATTTGGTATTACATTCTGTGGGTCTCATTTTGTACATTGTAACGTTTTTGCTATTTAAGGTCTTCTCAAAGTGTAACTCCAGGTTCCAATATTTCACAAATTGGAACAGTGGATATACTAACGCCTGTTCGTGCTAATGAATCTTCATCTACTCTCTCCACTGCTGATTCTTCCCATACTCGGGTGAAGCCTGTAAGGAGTAATAGAAAATGTCAGAGTCCCAGAAATCTTCGTTTAATTCCTCTTGCTTCTTCTTTGTCATCACCCAATCTTCTCAATACTACTCAAGTTGTTTCTAGTTGCAGTAGCAGTGATAGTGAGGTAAATTTTATGAAGTATATCACATCTTACCTTTCAATAGGTATGTAATTTTTTATTAAAATATCCTCTTCTTTCCTCCCAGGATATTAGTGAAGCAGGTTTCAATGAAGATTGTGAACATAATAATAGTAGTATGTGCATTGAAGAAGATGAAGAAAATTCAAATGATGAAAATGATGTTGATGATCAAACTATGTCAGGTATTTACTTATGTGTTTGGCTATTTTCATTTTTTTATTTATTAGCAGAAAAAAATCTTTTCATTTCCTGTTATTGTAGTGAGTATTTAATTGTTACTTAAAGTTTAAATGCTCTCTTTTACTATTGTTAATTTGCCTCCTTTTTTTCTTGTATTTTCACTGAATCTTTTGTTCTTTATTATCCTGTCATTATTTATTTTCTTGTCATATTCCATTTTTTTCTTTTGCTTAGTGTCTCATATAGTTTCCTGGCAAATTGTTAGTAAATTTTTTATGGTGCTTTCCCATTAATGTAGATGCTGCTTTGTTCTTTGTAAATGTTGTCTCCTGTTATTAAGATGTCTCTTCTTCTTTTCCAACAACGCTGCACTAATGTTATCACTTTCATTTTAATGTTATGCAGATACATTTTTAAAGTGTTCCTTTGTAAGAGAATACATTTACACTTCAGTGATAAAAATTAACTGTTTGGAGACATAATTATTAACATACAATATTAATTAGATTAAATTTTAACATATCTCTTGACTGCAGTTAAATGATATCTTTGGTGTTCTATTGTTTGTCAATATCGTTCACAGACAAGTTGCAGCCTGGTGATGATGTAAAGTACATCTTTGCAATATTCCTCCTTGAATTAAAACAAATTAAATACAATTTGCTTGTATTCTATGCACAGGATACTGAGGCTTTAAAAGGTTTCTTTCTTTAATTATTTGAAATCTCAAAAAATTGAAAATTAATGAAAATGCAGAAATGAAGCTGAAGATTGTTATTGATGGATAAAAGTGTGAAGACATTTTCCTTATGGAGATGATTTCAAAAATGACATGAATGTGCAAAATATACTGCTTGTTAGTTTCCAATATATTGTGCCCTGTTTGAGAGACAGGTTAAAATCAAATACAGCCCAGTTTGGTCTTAGTTTTTGGGATTTACAAATAGGCTTAAAAAAACAACAACCTCGGGTGTCCATATATGTCATATCAGGCATGGTTCTCAGTTCTCTCTGAAGAAGATTCATGTACTATTTTCTAAGCAAAGGGTGCTTTGGTCTTAATATCAGGTGATATTTACAAATTTTCAGAATGCTTTCCCTGATTTTATCAGTCCGTCAAACAACTACTTGTGGAAACTATGGCCCTTTTTGTCCTGTACTACAACCATGCTCTTCCTATACTACAAGTGTCATTTGGACGAGAGAACTACAATTCAGGAAGTCAGCACATCGCAAATGGGCATAGTGAACAGAAATTACAACATGCGAAATCTGGACTATAGGTAAATGGCTGATTAGTCCAAGGAGCTACCCAAAGGGTGATTCTGCATTTATCAGAAAAAATCCAAAAGTAGCATGATTTATTCCAAGATATTGTGTAATTTGAATTATTGCACATAAACCAAGTTTAAATGTTATTGATGCTAGATAGTAAAACTCATATGCTCATTTCCATTCGTTTTAGCAGTTTTTAATGCAGATAAGAGTGACAACTTTTGTTGGTTCTAGGACGTCATTCATTTAACTGAGTTTTTTATCTTCTTAATATTGAAAGTCAACTCTTCTGATTGTTTAGGAAGTGTTTGAATATTTCTAAATGTATCTCAGAACAGAATAATATTCTTTACTTAGAAAAAGTAATTCAATGTAAAGGTAAGGTCAAATTCATTTAATTTTCAGATAGTGTGATAATATCATGGTAATGTGCTGCATATACCCTAGGTTAGCATTTCTTTCTTCAATATAATGTATTACATCATCATCATGGGCTGCTAGAATTTAAAGCTTTCTTGCGTTCTTCTATTTTGAAACTATGCAATGCTTTAAACCTTGTGTTCATGTAATGTTGTCTCTTGTTTGGCTTTATGTCCTTTTGCCCTGAAATTTTGTTTGAAGTGCAATTTTGGATAACCTATGTCAGTTTGAGGTGTGTAACCAAATTTAATTATGATTTATCTATTACACTCTTTGCTTTTAGTGTTTTTTTAATTTGATTATTCCATCCAAAATCCATGGTTCCTTTCAGAGGTCTCCAAGAGGCCTATAGTATCTTGAGTTCAATGATTTAAGATCACATTTTTAACTTCACTTCAAGTTGTGTACACAACTTTTTCTTCTTAGCTCCTCTGTTTATTCCAATGTCTTTATGTGTACATGATATTTGTTGTATTTCAGAAATTATTCTTATTTTAGTATGTAGTGTTACTCCATTTGGAACTTTGTGTGATAATTACTTTTCCGTTCTTATCTTTGGAAAGTTATATACGTTGTTTTATGTGTGAATACTTTCATACTGTGTTTGTTTGTTTGTTAATTAATCTAATTTTTGCTGCAATTAGTGTATAATCTTTAGTCTGTTAGTAGTATTTCTTTCTTTCATTCCCTCCTTTTACGTTTCCTTTTCTCATTTTCCTTTTATTTCTTTTACCAATTTTTTCCTTTTCCCTTTTTCCCCGTTTTGCTTTTGCTTTCTCCTTCCACTCTTGTCTTTTCATTTTTACTTTTCATTATGTTATTTTTCTTTTTCTGTTTCTTCCTTTTTAACTTTCTTGTATATGTGTGTATAGGCAGAATAATATGTAGTGTAGAGGAAGGTATGCAATGCTGTGGAATATCAATTTCATGATTCTAACAAAAATACATATTTTTGAGTTCTCTGTTACCGAAAATGAACTTCCTCCTCTACATAAAGCAGTGGCAATGCAAAACTCTTTTTCAGCAAATTCAAACCATTGCCTAATTCAAGGGCTTAGTTAGTGATTAGATTAGAAAGCGGTTTCAGATTCCCAGTATGGATTTTGAAAATTAAATCTACTGAAACTGTCATGTTATCTTTTCTTAAAGAAGTATTTTTAGATCTTTCAAAACAATTTTTTTTCTTGTTTCTTGTTAAGGTTCCACCAACATCTAGGTCATTAGTGACCCCTATTGGATTTAACGTTATGGTAACTGTGAAGATGACATGATATGGTGATGATAGGGGTGAAAGGACGAGCACAAATACAACCATGCTCGAGGTGGTACTAGAAGGCCACTGAATTGGCTCAAAAGCATTTGATGTCATAGAGCATTACATTTTATTTTCAAAATTACCTTTTTAATAGAATTGCTCTAGTTTGGTTGTATTTATAACCTAAACAATGATCTCGGAAAGTAGAAATACTATAAATGAAATGAAGGGACATTATTGAGACAACAAAAAATCTAGGCCAGACTAGAGAGATTGGAAACTAACTAGCACAAACACTAATTGCACAGCCCACGAAACTAACTGCAATTGTGCTTTAACCTAACACTTATCAGAATGTGTTTTCCTTTCTATTTTCATGTGTATTTCCACATTTCACACAGCAAGAAACCTCACTCAACAATGAGAAGGAATTCTATGAATTCCAATTTCCATAATGCAATCTGATATCATTTGAAATACTTTTTTTAGCAAAACAAGCTTAGGAACTTCAAACTTTCAATTTTGAAGATATCTATTTTCAAAAAATATTCATCGCCTTATGTAAAGATCTAATATTGAAGAATAGATTTCATTAAGTAAAAGATTTTAATCATCAATTTTTTAATCAATAATATTGTAGTTTTGCAAGTTTTGAAAATACAGAATGCACTGAAAATGGATACTGCTCCATTGTTATATGCACACTTTATTAGAGAAAATATTTATATCAGTTTGTGAAAACATTTGTTTTGAAATTGTTATTACTACATGGAAACATGAGAAATTGTACAAACCTTATTTAAAAATTGTTCTTTTTAGAACATTTTATTAAGGAAAAAATCTCATATCATTTATACAGTAGTTTTACAAAGTTAATGTTTTGCAATTTTTTGAAAATACAGAATTAACTGAAAATAGGACCTGGGCTGTTTTTATAACTGTACTGAACTCTATTTGAGAAAAACGTAGGAAAACATTTGGAGCCATTCTTGCCAAAATAATTTCCTTTAAATTGCCTATATTTTATCCAAACTTGCATGAGAACTATTAATATTTACGAAAAATTGTCCATGATCTGATTTAAAGATGTCTGAAGAATGGATTTCATTAAGAAAAAAAATCGATATTATATTTTGTAGTTGTAGGAAGACGCTGAAAAAATTGAACTTTTTGCAATTTTCAAAAATTCAGAGTTCTAGAAAATGTACCATGCTCTATTCCTCTCTGAGAAAAAATATTATGCAATAAATGAAGCATTTTTGAGAAAGTTTTGAAAATTTTGGCACTTCATGTAAAGTACCTCCAAAAATCGAAGTATCTGTTTCAAACTCACTGGGCTGCAATTTTTTCCAGATTGGTTAGGCAATGTAAACTTTGAAGAAAATAATTTGAATAGTTTACACACTAGCATTTGCAAACAGATGTCAAGCAAACAAATATCAAATTATTTGTTTAAAATTCTCAAGGCCTCCAGTTTTGAAATATCGATGTGGGAATATAAATTTTTGTAAAAATTGTCTGAATGGTTTAGACTTCAGTGATGCAAACTGATGAACATTTTGTCGTCAGCCAATTTTTCGATATTGGAGACCTGTAAAAAGTGACTTCGAAGTATATGTGTTATAGGAAGTAATTTACTTCATATAGATCACCTTTGTAAATGAGCGAATTGTGACGTACAAATTCAAAATAGAGAGGGGCCACTTAATACTTATAGGCGTGTATGCCCCAGAAGAAGGAAGGAA